CGGGCGGCTGCGGGCGGCGCCGAGCGAGCGAGAGAGCGAGGGAGCGGCGCGGGCCGGGCCATGGGGCAGCAGGCAGCTAGCGCGCTGTTACTGGCGCTGCTGCTGCACGAGCGGCTGCTCGCGGTGAGTGTACAGATCAGAGAGGCGGGGGCTCTCCAACGCCTCTCGCGGAGCCTGCCAACTTGGCTGGAGCGCCCGAGGCTGCGCGGCCGGGACTGGCTCAGAGCTGTGGCGCCCGCCGGGGACCCCGAACCCGCACAGGCCCACGCCACCCTGCGGCTTGGGGTGGCCCTGGAGGGGACCCAGCGTGAGGCCGGGGGCGGGGCTGGCCCGCTTGGGAGCCGGTGGGTCTCTTGGCCACGTTGTCTGGTCTCCGAGTCGCGCTGGGCATGGCCCGGCCTACCATTCCTGGGGATCAGGAGGAGAAACTTTGAGCAAAGTGGGAACTTGGCAGGAGGAGGGTGCCCCTTTCTGCGCCAATTTCAGCGGAGATGGGGATCCTATGCCGTCTTTCCCTTTGGGAGCTTGTACCCAGGCAGGCACAAGTAAGGAACTTTTGGGACAGAACTGAGGCTTGTACGAACCTCCACGGACCCTGTAGTCATACAGCCCAGGAGTTGAATCAATCCCTGCCCTTTACTAAATAACTGTGACCTCAGGCAAGCTAGTTAAACTCTTCTGCGGCCGCCCCACGTGTGTAAAGGGAACTCAAAATGCACGGCCTCAAAATGCATAGCCCCGGGGCGCTTGGCAGACAAGGTGGAATGAACTGCGGAGTGCAGAGTGCCTGTTCCGCCTGGTCACTCGGTGGGCACTAGGAGGATGTGAGATTCCCCAGCTTTTCTCTTCTGGGATCTCCCAGGGGCCTGCTCCTGCAGTGCAGTGCTCTACTCTGAGCTTAGGTGGGCCTAGGGGACAGGTGGGAGAATTCCTGGGATCAGAACCCTGAAACTTAAAAGGCACTGAGGCCCTGGGGACCTCAGTGAACTCAGGAGGCCTGGGCGGGACCAGTGGGCAGGGAACTGGTGGCAGATGTGTGTCTGGGGAGCTGGGCCTGTCTTGGTGAGCCACAGAGCTGCCCCCACCCTCTCTGAGGTGTTCTACTCCTAGGCGGTCTCCATCCCTGCTCCTCCCTTGCCCTGCAGAGCCAGATTTTCTAATCTGGCCAGTGTTTACCCGGTGACTGACTGACTCCCTGTCCTCACCTTGCCGGCTTTCTCTCACTATTGCCTTCCTGAGTCACTTGTTAACCACCCCCCAAAGACCTGACCCGTCAAATGCTCTTGCCTCACCCACCTAGCACTTCTCCTCCACTACACTCTGGTGAGCAGCCTCCTTCCTCCCTTGTCTCAGCCTCTCTCTCCATCAGGGCCACCCAGTTTTGACCCCGACTTGCAGCTTCCAATGCTGACTTTACTTTTCCCAAGGCACCAACCTACTGTATGGGATGGCTTCAGCTCCCCGACAGTCTTTCCTGACCTTGCCCAGCTCTGCCCCTGGGCAAGGGCTTCTCCATGCCTGGGTTGTACAATGGCAAGAGCAGTGGGTGGAGTTATTTGCTGTGTGAGGGAGGAATTTCCACAGAAATTCATTCACTTATTCATTCAACAGATCATTATTGAGCAACATTCCATGACAGTCACTGAGAGTGCAGGGGTCCATTCATTGGGAAGGTCTTTGCCAACACCTACTGTGTGCCAGTGCACGTGGCGTGGTGCTAGGGGTCAAGGTGGTTCAGGTGAGCAGGGACAGCCCTGTCTGTGCTTGCCCAGAATTCACAGGCTGGTGGACCATAATTTGGGATTATAGAGCCCTCTCGGCAACCATAGTGAGGTCTTCAGTGTCCCACCAGGGCGGATGGTGGTACATTGGAAAGGGCTTGGGCCCTGCAGTCTTACAGGCCCAAGTTCAAGTCCCAGCCCTGCCATTTCTAGCTGTGTGATCTGGGCCAGACTTCTCTCTCGGAGCCATAGTTTTCACAACTGTAAAATGAGGGTGAGATGTTTGCTGTGCCTCTCAAATAGGATCAGTTCCTACTGTGGTGCCCCAGCCAGCCTGGGGCTTCATCTCTTCTGGCCTTCAGAAGCCAGTGGCAAGTGGAGGAGGGTAGGACACAAGCAGGGAGGGAGAGTCCTCAGGGAGACCTCACTGGGGGCAGGAGACAGGACCACAGGGAGCCGTGCTCTGTGATTAAGTGTGGGAGTAATTTCAGCTCTCAGGAGGTGGGGAGGTTGGCCAGGGTGGGGGCTGGGTCTGGGTGCCTCAGCTTTCTGGCCCCTTTTCTTCCTGCTGAGGCCCTAGCCCTTCTTGTCTTGGGGCCAGCCCTGTCGGATACAGGCTTCTTGAAGGGGCCTCAGTGGTGGTGATTAAGGTGTTTTCCAGGACTGAGGGAAGTCACTGTGATACCTGTTTCCTGCCTCAGCTGCATTTCCTTGCTGAGGAGGCTGCTGGCGGGAACTGGAGCAGCCTCCCCTTCCTGGCGTTACCTCACCCTCCCCTCCATGGAGCTGGCTGCTCTGCTCCCACTCTGTCCCCCTTAGGGTGAGCGTGTGCTGGGATTCCAAAGGGAGGGAGGGAGGAGGGAAAGTAGGTCCATCTGCAGAGGGGTCAAAGGCTGAAAGGGTCAGAGATGGAACCCCCATTCCTTAGGCCCAGGTCCCCCTGTCTAGGGAGTCATGGCTCCCTCCTGGCTTGGCCCGGACCTGTTCTCAGGCTGAGCTCAGGCAAGTTAGGATCTGTGGGTCTGAGGCCCTGCCCCAGAGATGGTGGAAGGAAGGTGGCATGAGGTGACTGGGTTCAGGGCCTGGAGGACGTGTGAGGAGAGTAGTGGGGAGGGGGGTTTGGGGACCCTAGTCCCCATGACAATGACAAAATCATGTGGATGGTTCACATTTCCCCAGTGCCCACTGTCTGCCAGGTGCTGTATTCCTCAGCGAATCCTCTCATTAGCCTGGTGGTTGCCCTGTCCTCATGATGCTCGGAATCAGATGCCAGTCTCTGACTTAACGTAATCCCCTGGGCCCTACAAGATCTGGCTTCCTGCCAACCTGCCCCTCTGGAGTATGCCTCCAGCTACACCAGTCTTTGTTTCTTGAACATGCCAAATACACTCTATCCGTAGGGCCTCTGTATCTGCTGTTCCTTCTACCTGGAATGCTTGTCCCTGTACCATCCATCTGACCCTCTGCCTCCCCTCATGCAGGTCCTGACCACTCTGCGCATCGTCTTTGCTTCCTTATACTGCTTTATTTTTCTTCTTGTCACCATCTGTCATGTATTTCTTTATATATTTATTTGCCTCCGCCTGCCCAATTAAAGCTCTGTGAGAGTAGGACCCTATCTGTTTTCGTTCACTGCTGTATCTTTAGCACCTGACAGTAGTAAGTGCTAGCAAGTATATTTGTTGAATGCTAAGCTACAGCTTGGCCGGGCATAGTGGCTCACACCTGCAATCTCAGCACTTTGGGAAGTGGGAGGATCACTTGAGGCCAGGAGTTTGAGACCGGCCTGAGCAACATAGTTGAGACCCATCTCTACAAAAAAAGTTAAAAAATTAGGTGCGTATGGTGGTATGCACCGGTATTCTCAGCTACTCAGGAGGCCGAGGCAGGAGGATTGCTTGAACCGAGAAGTTTGAGGCTATAGTGAGCTATGATGATGCTACTACACCCCAACCTGGGCAGCAGAGTGAGACCCCATCTCAAAAATTTAAAAAGCTACAGCTACTAATGTGGTCCCCATTCTCTAAGCAGAGGAAATCGAGGCACAGACAGGTTATATAACTTGCCCCATGGCTTACATGCCCATATACTCTGATTCCCCTTGAGCCAAGTTGTGAAGCCAGAGAAAGTTCTTATAGCCACTTTACCTGCTGTCCCTCTCCTTATAGTAGGCAGCCCATAGATACTGATAAAACTCATCACTAATGTTAGTTAAAATAAGAACTCTGGTCCCAGGCAGCACAGGGGCTACCTCAGGCAAAGAATTTCAGGGTCAGAGGCTCTCGGATGTGACTCAGTGTCTGTGGGGGCCCCTGGGGAGGCCTGTACTGGTGGGAGCCTAGGAACTAACTCTAAGTTCTATAGGTTTATAAGTTAATTTCCTCATCAGATATTAGTAGGTTTATTAGTTAATTAATTTCCACATCAGGTACTTCATTTATTAGTTAATTCATTTCCTCATCAGGTATTCTGTGAGACTCTACAGACAATTGAATTAATCCAGGGGCTGTAAGGCCTGAGTGGGCCAGGCCAGGCCCTGACCTGTGGGGATGTGATGGGGCCTCTGCCCTTGCCACAATGCTAGTCACCTTGTGTGGAGCCTGCACTGCTTTTCTGCTCTCTAGGGGCTCAAGGTTTGGGGTAGTCTGCAGAGGCTTCAGGGTGCCTGGCCTTGGGGTGAGTACATCAGGAGGGAGGGTAGGCCAAACATGTACTTTCCAGGATGTGGAGAGATCTTGAGTAATGATTCAGAGACCACTTGGAGGGCAGATATGTGGATTCTGGGCCTCAGACCCCTAGCCCTGGCCTGCTGCCTCCTCCTCAGTCCAGTCCCAGCTGTGAGGGGTCATGCTGGAGGGGTGAACATGACCTGCTTCCCAGAAGCTTCCCAAGGATCTGTTTGGCCCACCACACCCCTTCCCAGGGCCTACCCTGGCCTTCCCTCCTCTCAATCCTGCTCCTGCCAGGAACGGGGAGGCTGGATGAGGGTCTGGGCCTTGCTGGAATATTGCCTCAGCTTGGGTCTTGGCCTCTTTGGCCCTGCCACCCTCTCCTGCTCCCAGGGCCTGGCTGTGGTGAGCTGCTCCAGCGCCCAGAGCTGGCTGACTGAAACCCAGAAGTATGTGTGGAACTCACTTCGCGGGGAGCCGCCAGCCTCACTGCCCGGCCTAGTGGCGTCGGGGCCATGTCAATAGCGGCCTTGAGAAGGGGAGTGGCTCGTGGCTGCCGGGGGTGGCTGGGTCGGGGGCACTGTCATGAAAGCCTTGAGAACAAGGTGGCTCTTTGAAGCCTGGGAATGTGGGGCCTTCAAGTCTCAGCCGCCCACAGCACCACCCTGCCTTTCTTTCCACGATGATCATTGGTACCAGGGCTGCAGGGACCTTAGAGAATCTCTGGGGACAT